GGGGCGGGAATCCTAGCACCAGACCCCAGACACGGTCTGCCTGGTAGGGTAGAGCAGGGAAGTCCTTTGAGGCTTTTCCTATCTCTCTGATTGAGTGGGGCAGGGAAGGTGGGGGGGGGGGGCATGACCAGGACTCAGCCCAGCTGGCTGAATATGATGGGAATGGGTTTAAACCCCCACCCTGGCCTGCATGGATCATAGGTGGGGTCTGCCTGGCAGGGGCAGTGAGGAAGCCCTCAGAGGCTTTCCTGCCCTTCCTGCTCAAGCAGAGACAGAGGGCCATGATCAGGTCCAGCCTGGCCTGGCTGCTTAAGTATGACAGGGTAGGGAGGGTCAGTCCCCAACCCTGACCCACATCAGCCCCAGCCCCAGCCCCAGCCCCAGCCCTAGCCCTAGCCAGGTCAGCCTATGGGGCATTGGAGGTAGTCCTCAGAGGCTTCTCCCTCCTCCCCACTCAAGCAGATGTGGCCAGGTCCCAGTATGACTCAGATGCCTGATTATGATACATGACTCACCTGGGAGTGATTTAACCTTGGTTATTCTCAGATTATTTTTCTCCTGGAGTAACCATTTTTTGCTCTGGAAGAAAAATCCCGAGCATTCTGTACACTTGTGGTTTCTCCTGGGAAAGCATGACTCTCCCAGGATAAACAAAATGTCTGTACATGGCCACTGATTTACTACAGATTACCAAGAGAAGGACCCTTTTTAGAGAAGCTACAGAAACTGCTTGAGTTCTGGTGGAATGGGCTATAAATCTTAATGTTGGGTCTAATTTAGATAATCGCAAGATAACTTAAGATAAATATGTATCAGTTCAGACAAAGTCTGGGTCAATATTCCCTGACTTTATACCCAGTTTTTACAAGCTACAAAGAGCAAGGTGACATCGCTAAAAATATAATCCTAATTAGGTAAAAGGACATGATGTGAAGTTTAGCTTTTTTCCTTGTTGGAATGTGCTTTGGCAAAGCAAAAAGGTAGGTATATTACTTGATTAAGATAGATATCCAACATTACTTTTGGCAAAAATCTTCAGACAAACAGCATTACCCTTCTCTTATGAAGTACAGTGTATGGAAGTCCTGCCATGAGGACTTGTATTTCTGTTACCTTTATATCTCTTACTGTACTGCTGCTAGAGAGATGGCCTTGATAAATAATTGGAAAAGGGAACATATACCAGGAGTGTAGAATTTGGACCTTCAATTCTGTCAGCACTTGGTTAAGATCTCTAGAAAGGAGAAGTTCCCCAAGGCCCCTCTGAGATCTAGTTATTGAATACAGGAATATTGTGTAAACCTGAATAGAAGTATGATTAGCTGACTTTGTTGCCTAGCAGCTATCACTGAAATCACAGACCAGTGGTTCTCAACCTTTTTAGACTCAAAGAACCCCTAGGTAGACTTGAGGCTCCCTTTGGAAAAGGCCAGCTCTTAGTTTTCACTCTTTTATGGCTAGAGAAAAATAATAGAGCAGTTTTCTGTTGCAAAGAATTCAGAAAGACTACAATTATGTATTTCTATTTGAAATCTCTGGTTTTATCTTGTGGATCATGCTTGTTTATTTAATAGTGTTAATATTGTATGTCACCCCATGACATCTTTAAAAGGATCTCAGCACACCCTGGTTCTGAATTACTGTCATAGACAGTTCTGAACTTCTTAGTGACAAGAAGAATTTCAGAGTAGTAGTACATGAGCTCTAGTCACAGGTAATTGATATTCTTGGGCCCAGATAATGAATCACTTCTATTCATGTAAATATGTAGATTCTTGATGTCTGAAAAGCAAATCCTCTCAAGTACTGTCAACCTGCTAGCATCATGTAGTTAAGTACAAAAATGATGGATTGGGATACAGAAATTGGATCTATTTTTCTTTCTTGGAAATTATATCTGATCAAAGCAGTTAGCAGGTCAGAGGTCAGGTTGACAAATTGATCAAGTCTGAATACCAAAATTAGCATTGGCCATTCTGGTATCAGCATGCTTAGGTTCCCTGAATTCTGACTGAACTTCCAGTTCATTATCTTTAATGGGAAGTATGTATATGTTATCCCTAGAATCAGGGAATTCAAAACATATTCAGTAGTGATCACAGACTTGTAACTCTTCTGGAACAGAAGAAGTCCATGAACGTTATCACTACTTTTAAAAATATTTTCTTTAGGATGGTGTTTTTTACTGATAATTTATGATAATTTGCAAACTGCCTGTGTAACAGGGAACCCTAGCCCTGATACTAGAAGACAGGTCAGCCCCTTTAAGGCCAGAACTTTCTAGGCACAGTGTGCCGGTTAAGGTGGGGGGTAAAAGCTGAGCCTGGCCAGTTAGTCAGGTGACCAGAAGGGGGCAGGCCAGGACTATAAAAACCCTGGGCTGAGTGGCAGTAGGGGCCAGCATCCAAAGGGGAAGGAGTGTGTCCCAGAGCTCCATGGAGTGGCTTGGTGAGTGGTCTGAAGGCTGGAGGAGGGGAACTATAGAGGACCCCTGAGAGATGGCAGCAACTGTAGAAGAAGGACTGTAGCTGACGGTGAGAAGCCAAAGCACAAACCCCTGCATAAATGTAAGCCAGCATGCTGCCTTCTTTAATCACATTTCCTCTTGGTGGTGGTTGTTGCCCATGGACAGGACTGTTCATATTTTTTTTGTTATTGAATAACACCGGTGGTTTGGGCGAAGCTGTTGGGGAAGGAGGAGGTCTCATTGGGACCCCACTACAGTGTGGGGACTCAGCGCCAGTGTGGGTGTAGGATTTGGGGTGCATTGACCCTGGCACCAGAGAAGGTGCAGTATTTGGGGTACATAGGCCCTGGCGCCAGTGTGGGCACAGGATTTTAGGGTGTACAGACCCCGGCACCAGAGGATGCAATTCTAAAAAGTTAGGGTGGTCTGGTGCACCTGAGGTGCAATTTTGGGGTTTTTTTGGATGGGGACAGTGTGAATTCAAGGACATTCCCCCGCCTTGAACTTGTGACCCCTGTGGCCGGGCCTCTAGGCTAGGCTCCAGATTGCAGCAGAAAGGAGGGCCACGAGCCTCAAGACAAGGGAAAAAAGGCTAGTGCCTTGGTGTCAAACCCTGTTTGGTGGGTTTAGACAGGGAGGCCTAGCTAGAAAAAAAGACAGGGGTCAAGGTCTGTGGAGGCAGAAGACCCCAACATACGAAATACGATAGGCAGTCTTCCACTTCCAAGAACATCAGTATAATAATTTCCATCAAGACGTGGCAGGAAAGTAGAGAGCAGGACACAAGAACCTTAAAGGGGACTTCAGGGGCACTCCACCTAAGGTGCAGATAACAGGGAAGATGGCGCTGGGGAGGGCAACCTGTTACAGCCTGAAAAGACTGTTTGCCATAACATTTTTTTAAAACAGGTCCCTGGCAGACCTGACACTTAAGACATGATTAACCTTAAATAGTAATCTGGACACATGTTTAGGTGTGGCTGATTTCCATGGCACTGTAAATTGAACACGTGGTAGGGTACCTGTCAGGTAGTTTTATGCTGGCTGCATGGCAGAGCTTGGTTGACAGCTCCCTCATGTTGGCAGGCTGACAGTTATGTGATGAAGCCCTGCCTGAGGCTGCACCTTGCTGTTTTCAGGATGGCAGCTGGTCATCCTGCTTGCATGGCATGATGCAAGCAGATGTATCCTATTTGCATGGAAGGATGCACAATTTTGGCACTGGGGATCAGATCCCAATTGATGCATTATCACTTACCTATGAAGAATGATCCCCAAGATCTCACCTCAGATCCCAGTCAAGTTGAAAGTTGGGTGACCACAGACAGTTTGAACTCATTTGGGTGCCCAAGCTAGTAGGAGACTCTGGTGGGGTCCCAGGGCTGAAAATCGACAGTCAACTGATTGTTGGTCTCAGCTCTGGGAGCACACCAAAGCCAGTCGGAGACTCCAGAGCAGTCCCAAGGTTAAGACCAACAGTCAGCTGCATCTCCATATCTAGATATTGGAGAATATTGAATGTTCAAATCCCAACCTCTCTTTGGCCTTAGATGATTGAGATAGTTCTTGATAGACCATAGAATTCGAAAAACTACGTATGCAAGGAAGAGAGTAAATTATATACTAATCAATCAGCCCTTAGATGGGAACCACACAGACTGTGGATTAAGTCTCCAAAGGACTAGGCTGGTCAAAGGAATCCAAACTTAAATTATGGGGTGCCCACACAGTAAAAGTGGAATGCATAAGAACTAAACTTAAAAATATTTTTTTATCTGACCTTTAAAGAGTTCTGATTTTCAATGATTATTGTTTAATAAATCAAAAGAATAAAAAATATTAAATCAACACTTTAAAAAAAAGACCACAGCAGAGTTTTGTGGGGCATATAATTGAGTACTCACCAAAATCTAAAGAACTCAGTCTTTATACTTTCCCTGGTTCAGAGCACTTTGAAAAAATATTGTTTGCCTTAGTTTTGCTGGTTGCTTAGGGCATTAGTTTAGAAGTTGCTATTCACAATTACATTCCATTTAAATTTGCTGTATCCCATTTCCAGCAATAACTAATACTAACAAAAGTGAAATTTAAGGGAAAATTATATTATAGCTCAGTGAAATTCAATATAGTGTGTATTATCTTCTCCAACCATTTACACTACTACAGTTTCTAATTTTAACTAGTATTACTATTCACTGTAAAGAATATGAAAAAAAGAACTGAAAGGAGATAAGATAGTTTACACTATTTTGTTTAAAGCTGCTGATGATAATGAGAGAAAAACAAACAACCCAAACTCTGGTTTTCCTGTCAAAACATGAAAGAAACAAATTCTTTATGTATTCATGAAGTTAATATTTAATTGGTGAGTTGGAAACAAGATTTTAAGCACACACTGTGCAACAGACGGACAGGACAAGTAAGGTTGCAACAATGGACAATTAGCATGCATATAACCCTTTCTATCTTAAAAGCTCTTTACAAATATTCATTAATGCAATCACAAAATGTTAAAAAAACAGTTTAGACTTACCCACATTTAATCTGCCTGTGACTTCTCCATTAGAATTGCGAGCGTTCACAGTCACATTATGAGTAGACTGGAGAAGCAGGGATGAGTCCTATAGTATAGTGAAAGATTTATAGATTAAGCAGAACAAATTACATTTTCAACCCTTTTTTAAGATTTATTTTAACTCTGTAATTAGAGGAGCCTTTGCAGTTACAAAACCAGTCAAATTATAGATTTATGATGAAAGGATTAATTTGGCCCCATGTTTGTGAATAAATTTTGTATTTAGTTGTCACATGTAGCTGACAGATGTAGAAAAAAGTACTAATTATTTGTACTGGTATTCAGCATTTTTTAGTTGCACATATGGATTAAAATTAAAATTCAAGATTTTAAATTCTAGATGGCCTATGAATATATGCTAGATAAGAAAGACACAAGGGCATCATTGGAGCTTTTGTACTGAGTCATAGTTAAGTCATAAGATCATAGGAAATTAGGGCTGGAAGGAACATTGTGAGGTTATCTAGTCCACACCCCAGATCAAGGCAGAATCATCCCTGACTAAACCGGCCCAGCCAAGCATCTGTCTAAACAGTTCTTGAAAACTTCCAAGGATGAAGAGTCCACCATTTCTCTAAGTAGCCTGTTCCAATGCTTGGGCACCCTCACAGTGAGAAAGTTCCTTCTAATCTCCAACCTAAATTTCCCCTGCTGCAGCTTGAGACCATTGCTTCTAGTCCTATCACCTACAGCTACAGAGAAAAGCCCATATCCATCCTCTCTGTAATCATCCTTCAGGTTTTTGAAGACTGTTGTTAAATCCACCCTCCCTCCCCCACTTGGTCTTCTATTCTTTAGACTGAATAACCCTAGTTCTTTCAGTCTTTCTTCATAAGCCTTGATTCCCAGGACCCTGACCATTTTTGTTGCTCTATGCCATATTCTTTTCAAACTGTCTACATCCTTCTTGAAAAGTGGGGCTCAAAACACAACACAATCACTTTGCAAGTGCCATTTCTGTTAATACACTCTAGTATGCTGTTGGCATTTTTTGCAACGAGAGCACAATGTTGGCTCATCTTTAGCTTATGGTCCACAGTAACCCCTAAGTCCTTCTTTGCAGCACTGCAGCCTAGCCAGTTATTCCCCAGTCTGTATTTGTGTATACGATTATTCTGTCCCAAGTGCAGGACTTTGCACTTGTCCATGTTGGATCTCATTTGATTGATTGCAGACCACTTATCCAAAATGACCTGGATAGAATGGACCCTAGTCCTACTCTCCAAAGTCCACCTAACTCGGTGTCATCCACAAATGTTGTAAGTATAAACTCAAACCCATCTTCCAAATCATTAAAAATATTATAAAATTAAAGGGACTAAAAAATACCAGACCTGGGACAGACCCCTGGGGAACCCCACTTAATACTTCTTCCCAACTAGAAATTGAGCCATTGTTGACTACTCATTGAGTACAATGATCCAACCAGTTATGCATCCACTTAACAGTATGTTTGCTGAGTCTGGATTTTCCTAGCTTGTTAATGAGAAATCAATAGCAGTGTCAAAAACCCTGCTACTGTCAAGGTGTATCAAATCTACCTATCTACAGAGCCTGACACCTTATCATAGAAGGAAACTTGTATAGGCTTATAATAGACTCCAGAAAAGATGCACAGTCAGTGTATATATTCTTAGTAGAGTTCAATTGGTAGGAGAAGCTGCTAGGAGATTGGAGGAAGAAAGCCTGCTAAAGTAAGAAAGTCAGATGCTATGCTGGCTATGAATAGTCCAGTTTCCAACAGACAAACTTAAAAAAGAAATTATAACAAGTAAATAAATAAATGTAAGATAGTGTATTCTAAAATGGTACTCAAGAGATGAATCCATAGGCCAGTAATCTTTTAAAGAGTTAAAAAACACTTTAAATACATGAAGAATTATAATTTTATTATCTGCTGAGTCAGATCCTTTTTATGCCCTTAATGTATGCCAGTTACTGATGACCACAATAGACCCTTCAACTGTTAGACATGTATTAGTCACTGTCATACCACTCTTTTTTTCAGTCATGTTCCCTCAGTTGAAAACCTGAAGGTGCATGGTAGAGGAACTCCAAAGAGAAGTCAACATTTTCACTCTAAGCCTCATTCATCTAAGAGGACTGTGAGTAAAACTGTCCTAGGCAGCCATCCTGATGGTCTACTTAAATTCTCATGTGATAGAGGTACAATATTAATATGAGAACCAAAAATGCCATTTGCCATGTGCTTGGGAGAGCCACACTACAGACTATTCTTTACCAATGAGCTGATAAAGATAGGTATTCATATCAAGCTGATAAGACAATTCAGCCATTCTGTTCTTGATCTTCGGGAGTGCTTTATTTTTTTAGAAGTTCTTTTGATTGATAGTAACACTCATGGAGTATAATATTACTGTATAAACTGAAATGGCATATCTAGCCCTGAAGATTTTGTTTTGTTCAGTTTGTACATAACAAGAAGTGGTTCATAACAAATTCATGTCTAAATAATTTAAGATCTGTTCAAAACCCCTTTCTTCTACCAAATTAACTTATGTGTTAATAAAAACCCTTCATTCCACTTCTAGATACACAAGCAGTTTCAGTCATCTGCTATTTTTAACCCAATCTGCTTGAGAAATATATCCTGTCTCCTTGCTCAAGTATGTGTTTTCCCCTACGCTCTGAACTCAAAGCAAAAGAAAAAAAACTTATACTTCTGTGATGACTGTAGGTGTTGTAGGGCTTCCTGCCACTGCCCTGAACTCATTTTCCTACAGGAGGTGACAGGGTGGACCTCAGCTTCAGATCACCTGGTCTGCCAGGAAGTTGGACCTATGTTTCTTGCCTGCCACGATTTTGATGATATTATATTGCTAGGAGCCAATGCTCAAGGTGATCCTGCCCGGTCTCAATCCCTGTTTTCTTTTGTGGGGCTCCAAACCTCCCTTTTACCCCACCCTAGCCTCTCCAGGTGGCACTCAGAGTTCACTGCAGCCAGATCGTAATGCCGCCTGTTGGTCTATTATTCTGCCCTCAGCCAGCAGGGTGACGACCTGCTTTGGTTAGACACACACCCTTCCAGGGCTGGCTTTGGCCTGCACTCAAACATCCAAAAAAAAGACAAAGCAAAACCTGACTGCTCTCAGTCTCTTTGTCAGACTCAGTCCATGTCCCCTTCACCTGGGGTAAGGCTTTCATGTCCCAATCACAACAAAAAAAAATCAGTCCAGTCACTGCTCTGCAGAGGCCTGCTCCGGCTTACTCGTGAACATTCACAGTCCCAGTGGGATCTCTCCCATGTGCAGCAAGGCTATAACCTGAAACAGCAATTCTTCTGGCCTCTCCCCTCAGCTGTCACTCCACTCCAGGGATTATTAGGCAGCTTCCACCTGCCTCCTTCTCAGGGTCACACCCTCAGCATTGCTCCAGCAAGTTTTACAACACTTGCCTGTTGGGCCGCTCAGCTGCTCCTCTCTCTGCAGTTTTCAGGAAATCAACCCCACTCTGCCCCTCTCCAGGGCCAGAAATACTTCTGAGCAGCCTCTCTCCTCCAATCGGAGTGAAATACTGCTCCGGAAGTGTGGGGATTGCTTCTTTTTCCTTCCGGTCTCTAACTGCAGCCCCTCTGGCCCTCCATGCTGTATGTGTTGCTTGCTTTCACTTTCCCTGTCTGCTGCTGTTGGCTGCTTCTCTTCTCCTGACCTCCCCTGTCCAGCGTGTAAGGCACCTCAGGGCTTTTGTTTACTCTCTCACTCCTTCACAACTTCCTATACAATCTTTAGATGTACATACTTACACATACAGATGTCATAAATTTAAAATATGTGCCCTATCATATGCCTTATAGGGAAAAAAAAAGGAGAGGGGCAGGGGAATTGTTATCTTTATTATTGTTTTTAAAGAACCAGAAAGGAATATTCCCACATTTCCTGTACAACCGAAACATTTTAGAGATTGTCACGGTGTGGGGTCCTAGGGGTGGCCGTGATCTCCCCTAGCGCCCCCTACCGTGCCAAGTTTGTGTTAAAGGATCCTCGTTCTCTCCTGCCACGTCTTGATCTTAAGTATATTAAAAGGATGCTGCCTCTCGTCTTCTTAGTCACAGTGCTCTTGCTACCCCACATCTCGTTTCTATAATGGGGTTCCGGGCACCCCAGCCTTATGGGCTATGTGTGGCTCCAACCACCCCTGTACCATGCCCCAAGCCTCGTTGGTATACCGGATGTTGTTTGTCTCTCTCTCTGCGCCCTCTCTGGCACTTAAGCTTTCCACTGCCTTGTCCCACAACCATGCCCCACAGACGCTCATCAATCACTGCCCCCCTTGCTCTGAGGCCTTCTCGTGCTGCCCCCTTTGCTCTGGGGCTTTCGCAGCCTTGGGGTTCAGGTGGCCGTAGCTGTGCCTGGCCCCAACTCTCCTCCTTGGGGTCTCGAACCCCTGCAGGGCTCAGGCAGCCTTGGCCTTACCTGGCCTCCAACTCTCCACATCCCCTTCTCTGGGGCTTTTTCCTCACCGCCCCACTTCTGTGGGGCTGGGGTCAGTGCACTCCAAAATGCTGCACCCTCCGGTGCTGGGGTCCCCATGCTACTGTGGAACCCCTATGAGGCCTCCTCCAACCCCTAATAGCCTCACCCAAACCACCAGTAGTAAATGGTAAACAGAAGACTCAAGCCTCTTGGCTATAACATAAACCTAAGCCATTTGGCTATAACAACATTTGAGCCACTCCAGGGCTTCTCCTTCTCTCACCAGCATTGCATTGTGCAGTCATTCAGGCCCCTTCCTTTTCCTCACTCAGGCAGAGCTCCTACCCCATGGCTCCTGGCAGGGAACTGCCTGCTTGGCCTCAGCCTGGGAATTATATAGGAGCCAGGCCCTGCCCCTTCCAGTCAGATGACTCCCAGCGGTTGCAACCTGTACCTGTGCTTCCTCATTACTTCTTTGGCTGCCCTGGTAACCAGCAGCTGAGCTCCCCACTCACTGCTAGGGCTTTCTCCCTAGCTGTTTCCACTCTAAGGAGCAGGGCACCTGTGTGCTCTACGACACACCTCCCCTCTTTATAGGAGCAGAGCACCAAGG